TGCTGCTTAGAAGGCCGAAGCAGGAGGATGGCTTGAGCTGTGGAGTAGGGTCCTTGGCAAATGTGGCCCTCACCCCAATAAGTCCGTTCAGTTGCATCCAGTTTCCTCACCTCCACACAGTCTTTCGCCAAGCTTGGGAGGTGGACATCAGCAGTCAGTCTTGAGGGGCTCAGATACTGTGCCACAGCTTAAGGGGTCACCCAATAACCAGGTCCTGAGCATCCCTGTCAAGATTCAGGGACTCCCTGTTTCCCTAGAGAAATTCCAGGACCTCCGGTGTCCCTCTTCAGCCAGATTAAGAGAACAGGTTCCACAGAGTCAAAGACCTTTGTGGTTCATGACCTCAGCCAGAAAATTGTGAAATACACGGGTAAACTGCGTTGTGGACGCTCCTTTCTGCAGCCTGCTTCTGATTGGAGCAGCCCGAGAACTTCCTGCCAATCAGCAGCCACCCTGCTCAGCTTGGAACTTTATAGCTTAGCAACTGAGAAATGTGGAGGAACTCTGGAATTAATTTAAGGAAAGAGGAAAAAACATCAAGAAGGGAATTAGAAGCCAAGTAATCAGGCTGGAGTTTTTATTATTACCTTTGCGGCCAAGACAAGTAATGAACATTTTCAGCATTAATTATCAGCAGAGCAGAAACTAGTGAGGTATGTATACTCAAAACTCCGAGGCTAATGTCTCTCTCTCTCTCTCTCTCTCTCTCTCTCTCTCTCTCTCTCTCTCTCTCTCTCTCTAATCTTCTTTTCCTCCTAGGGGGACAGGGATGCGAACAGAGCTAAGAGGAAGCAGACAGGACAGGTACAACAATTAAGGGAAACCCACCCAGGTCCTGACCACCACATTGTCCTCTCCCGGGACCTCCTGCCTGTCTTTCTCTGGATTCACTCTCCCTCTTGGGACATCACAGAGACCTTACCTGTCTGAAAAGGGAGCAGGATGCACCAGGGACAGTAGAGGGTTTGTGATCTCAGATGGAGGCCTGGCTAGAGTGACAGTGACATTGGCATCATCATCCATAAGTACTGAGTATCCTTCATATGTCACCAGAGTCTGGGGCTGTTAAGACGGAAGTGAGTCTGGCAGACCCACCCTTGCCATGGGGGCTGACAATCTAGCAGAGCTGAGGGAGACTGGATATTAGGAATCAGTTCATTAAACCAGTGGAGATGAGATGACAGCTGTGCTGACACCCTCAGAGAGGAGGGACTGGGGCAGGGCGGGGGAAGACTGTAGAGTGTACATTTTCGTTTATCCTGGCTTGTTTGGAGTTGTTAGGAATAGGGTGAGTTTGCAAGTGAAGCTGGACCAGGGGTGGGGAACAAGCCCACTCAGCTCACCTGGACCTGCAAAGTTTGTCCTAAAGTGATGGAGAAGCGAGAGAACCATGGAGGTTGTAAAGCAAAGCAGAGTGATTAGGTTTACAGTTTGGAAGAGCAGTTGGCTGCTGGGGCAGAACAGATGGGAGGGATGCTGGGTATGAGCCAATTCGGAGGCCACTGAGATGCTATGTGGGCAGTGGCTCCAGGGACCACAGGCATGAAGCCCCACAGTTCTGCAGGGGCTTGTGAATGCTTCTCAGCCAACTCCACCAGAGCCGTGTTTCTTGGAAAGCATCCATTTAGACACCCCCAGTCTGTGGGATAGAATGGCAGTACAGCCACTCCACCCCCCAGGATGACGGCCCGGAATCTTCCTGGCTTAGCACCTCAATCCCAGAAGTCCCTCAGCCCCAGGAAAGCTGGTGCAGTTGGCTTCTCTACTACTCTGGGACAGCACTAAATGGAGCATAAGAACCGCTTCCCCTACTGCAGGGGCATCCCTTACCTTCTTTTGAGGAGGTGCTAATTCAGTGTTAACTCAGGCCTCTCTGGCTACTTTCTTCATTTGCAAAGTAAAGTTGGACCTGGGGAAATTTTTATGAGTTCCTCCTGTTGCTGCATTTCAAAGCAGTGAACTAAGCCTGAGCACAGAAGGCAGGGCCTTGCCCAAGGTTCCTCTGCTCTCCACGCCTGGCAGCTGCCTCCACAAATGAGAGTAACTGTCTTTGCCACCCAGAAACGGAAACGCAAGCTTGAAATATTCTGCACATTTTCCATAGCTAGACATTTAGTAGTTAAAAAGTATGGCAATTCTGGCTCATGAGAAGTAGCACTGAGAGTTATGGTCTTTCCTAGGTAGTGACAGCTAGTTCTTCCAAAAGTTAAGATGTGATCAAGCACCCTTATATCTCCAATTTTACAATGAGTACATTATTATAGCACTTACATCTTCCTAAGATCATCCTTCACCACCAACAGTCTAGTTCCATGAAGGAAAGACTGGGTATTTTTTGCCACTAGTCCCAGAATAAAGATTTGAGTTAGTTGAGGTCAAACTATACCCACTTTACAGACAAGGAAACTGAGACTCATGAAGGTTTAAGTTCTGCTGTTAAGTGGTGGAGTCAGAATTTGAACCTGGATGATGAGTTCTGTTCTTTCCACCAATTGGCCACCAGCTACTTCCTTGGGGGGGGGTCACATAGGGAGGGCAATAATGAGGGGAACAGTGTACACAGAGGCTGCTTTGCTCTTGGTAGGGGGGGTGTCCCTTATGAAAATTCATCTAGGGAACTCCAAAAGGATCAGCTCTGTGCATCCTGGCACAACACTGGCAGCCTGGCTTGGCCTGATCCTTTCTTGTATGGCTAGAGACTTCTGGATGTTGGTTGCTATGGAGATGATGTAGGATGCTTGAAGATAAAACCCAAGCCTGATACCCAACCTGGTCCCAGAGATGCTAACAGTGGGGTGAGCAGACTAACCTGATATTACCAAGAAAAGGACAGAGAAAGCCTGGTTTTTTCCTCCTTTTATTATGAAAAGCTGCCAGCATGGAGCCAGCTACAGCCATCACCAACTCTGGGCGGATCCTGTCCCCTGGTATTTCCTTCCCCTCCTCCCAGACTATTCAAAGCAAACCCAAGCATCAATCATTTCTTTTTCAAATATTTCTAAATAAAACTTCTAGGAAAAAAGTATGATTTTTATTTTGAGGCTGGGTCTTGCTAAATTGCCCAGGAGGGGCTCAAACCTGAGACTCACATTTCTCAGCCTCCAGAGTGCTAGGATTACAGGTGTGTGCCATCATGCCCAGATGATAACTTTTTTTTTTTTTTACCATTACCACTATTAAAATTAACAGTAGAGCTTTTGATATCAGCAAGTACTGTATCTGGTCAGCTATGTAGCTTTCTTGTAAATATTTTCTTGCAATTAAGACAAGAATGTAAATGAGGCTTATGTACTGTGATTGGTTTGTGTGTCTCTTACATGTCTCTTATCTGTAGACTCTTTCATCTTTCTTTGTCCCTCTGCAGTGTACTGAGAAACTGGGTTGGATGCTCTGTGATATGTCCAATAGTTTGGATTTTGCTTATTGCATCCTCATAAAGGTGTTTTATACATTCTTCTCTTTCCTGTATTTCTTATAAACTGCTAATTAGATCTGGAAGCTCACAACGATGCATTTATTTGCATGACTGCTTTCTAGTGGCTGATCTGGAGGCACGGATATGGTTTTCCTCTGTGATGGAGCTCCCGCTGATCATTCTCCAGACCTATTATCCCACTAGTGACTAACAACAGAGGCATCCTAGTCGCCGTCTGTCTTGGTTAATGGGAATACTTCCTTAAAGAGCACCAGTGTAGCCGTCATTTGGCTTCCACACAGTATGGGTCATACCAAAAAGGACAAATGCTAGATTGTTTTCCTTTATTTGACAGTTTCTAAAATATAGATGGTGATGATTAAGTTTATGAGTTTTTCTTTTTCTTCAACATCATGGTGAACTCATCCTTTGGGGTTTTGTGGGTTTTTTTTTTTTTTTTTTTTGAGACAGTCTCACTATGTAGCCCAAACTGGCCTCGAATTCACGATGAGCTTGCTTCAGCCTTTTTGAGTGCTGGGATTACAGGTATGCACAACCACACCTGGCTGAACTCATCATTTGGACATGAAATCGAAATGTTTAATACATTGTTGTTGTTATTATTATTATTATTTGAATTGAAGTACTAGAGGTTGAACCCAAGGCCTTTGCACTGAGCTACATGCCTAGCCCTGTTTAAACATTTTTTATTTTGAGACAGACTTTTAAGAAGTTGTTGAATTTCCCAGGCTGAGCTCAAACTCACAGTCCTCCTGCCTCAGCCTCCCAGACTGCCACCCCACCTTGCTGTGGTTATTAATCCTATCGATGCTCAAATTGTCATTTTTGGCCAATGGGAACCTCTTTGTGTCGTCTCCTGTGTCCTTCTGGATGTGATGCTGGTAGTTTTCAACAGCTTTCTTGCCTCCTGAGGCAAGAAGACAAGATAGTCCAGGCTCAGCTGGGCATGGTGGTGCCTGCCCATAAATCCCTGCGCTTAGGAGCCAGAGGCAAGAGAACTGCCATGAATTTGAGGTCACCTTGGGCCATGGAGTCAGCTCAAAGCCAGATGAAACTACAAAGGAAAGAAGACCCTGACTCAAAAATGAAACAAAAAAGATACTCAAGGCTCATTTGAACATTTTGTGGTTCAGATATGGAACTGGCCGTTTTCCCAGGACATCCTGAATGTGGACTAAAATTGGTGTTTAGAGACCGTAACACAGTGCCAGGCCCTGATAGCAACTGACCAGGTGGTGGTTTCTAACCTTTTCAGTGGACAGAACCAGTAATCACTGTGTGACGAATGCCATTTTACAAGCAAAGATGCTCCTTAGTCCCCCATCAAACGGAAGCACTGAAGTCCTCCTGGACATGAATCTGACTCTCATGAGGCCCTTTAGAAAGCATCCTGGCTGTAATCCCACACTCTAGGAGGCTGAGGCAGGATGATTGCAAGTTTGAATTCATCTTGGGCTGTTGGCAAGACTGTCAAAAAAAAATGGCTTGGGTTCAACCTCCAGTACCACAAAAACAAACAAACAAACAAACAAAAAAAAAAAAAAAAAAAAAAAAGGAGAAGAGACCTGGGAGAAGACCACTTCTGGGTCCCCCAAATTTTATTCTCATGGCAATGATGGCAAATGGTCCAGCTCATTGATGATGGACCTTTTTAGAGCTTTCAATGATAACAAATAGCTGGCTGCAGCCTGTGTGCCGTAGGGCAGCCATCACTGGTCCACCCCTCCTATCCTCTGGAGACTGGATCATCTAGTCAGTCTGCATCCCGGCTGCACCCTGGAATCTCATGGGAAACTTCAGAGATGTACTAGGTGTGCATCTCAGTGGTCAAGTGCTTGCCCAGCACCCACAAGGCCATAGGTTCCACTTTAAACACAATCAGCTAGACCCAATTGACATGAACAGTCACGTGTGGGTAGCAACTACTATCTTAGAGGGTATTACTCTAGAAATTTCCTCACATCTCATGGCTTCATGTCTATAAAACAGGGAATAATAAGGGTAATTTCACTGGGAAATTGAAGGAATTAGAGCTAATATATATAAAGAATCCATTATACACAAAGTGCTCAGTAAAAAGCTGCTTATTTAACATCAGAACCTGCCACCCTTTAATACAAAGAAAAAAAGCTTCCCTGGAACAGGAGCACCCAGAAGCACCCCACGATGGAGGCTACAGATTCCAAGTGGTTCCAGAGAAACTCTTGGAAAATGTCCCTTAATTGCACAAGTCCAACTACAGTAGGAGGTGATCAGTTCGTAGGGCTGTATTTCATTACAGATCTCGCCGCAGCTCAATAAATTAAGCAATCACTCAAAATAACATGTTGCCGTAATCCCCTCTCCTGGAGCAGTTTCAAGTTGTTTGATTTTGTTTGTGTTAGTGCAGCCCTGAAAGGCGACTGGCATGGTCCTGGGCACTCCTCCCTCAATTCATCAGCCGCTCTCTGGAAACATCTTTGCAGTTCCTGACTGGCAGGAGGGAGCGTGCCAAGCCAAGCAGTTTTTTTTTTTTCTTCAGTTTTATCAAAACTGGAACCTTTTGCATCCTGTTGGCCTTGACGCAGTCCATCCACATTTCAGTCACCAAGATTTCTGGCAGATCTATCAGCAATGGAGACAGAAAGGGAACCCTCAGTTCCGGTGCTGGGCGCCGAAAGCTGATTCTGGGCGGCTTCTGCATTCTCATTTTCTCTCTAGTAGTTTATAATCACACAGCAGAATTTTGTTTCCCTTAGAAACTTGGCATCAGAGGTGTCAGCCTGGGAACATATTTGTTTGTGTAAATTAAAGAGAAGAATATGTTTTGACCATATTTAAGTTCTTACTGCGTTAAAGAAATAAATACTGGCGTGCATAATGCTTCCCACTGCAGAGTTCTGGCTCACCTTCCTAAACCCTGACTTTTGTTTCTAAAACTCAAACTAGCAAGCCCTCTGATTGGCCCATCTCTTTAGACTGCTATGGGACAACCTTGGAGGCTATGGCCACACCCACCCAGGCCCAAATAGAAAGTCACTTTCCCTGGGAACTTGCTTCCCCTCCCACACTGTGTCCTTGCTGGGGAGTGTCAGAACCAGGCACCCTCACACACACAGCAGAGGGGCTTGTGAATCATACGGTCTGTTTGCAGGGCACTGGGAAATTGCTGTAGAAATTCAAAACGCACCTATCCTCCTACAGAGAAGTCCCATTTCTAGGAACTTATCCTACAAAATATACTTGGCCATGTGCCGGAGAGAAAATATGCTATAAAGGCATATTATGGAGTTAATGCAAATGTTGGCCAGTAGAGGCCAGGGTAAGTAAGCGTGATGGGACGCTGGACATCATTAAAAAGAATGAGGTGGGCTGGAGAGCTGTCCTGTCCTCAGGATATATTGTGACCCTCTTGACCTTCTCAACAAACAAACAACACCCGTGAATCTGACCGTATTTACAAAATATATAAAGCTGCACACGGTGGTTACTTCTTAGAAAGATTAGAGTTTGAGAAAATTGCAAAGGAACTTCTTTATTTCTTATTTTGTTCTGTTGCATTATTTTTCTTACCACAAGTATATTATTTTATAAATCTGGGTAAGAGCTGAGGATGTAGTTCATACAGAGACCTCCGAGTACACGTGAGGCTTTGGATTCAATCCCCAGCACTGCAAAAGGAAAAGAGAGAAATCATAAAATGGGATGATTAAAAACCATTTCTACTGTTACACTCTGAATTGAGCAATGTAATACAACAATGCTCTTTTTAGTACCTGCTTGTTGGGGCAGTGGAGTGGGGGAGGAGGTCTCTCCTGCTGGTTACTGTTCAGCTCTTGCCTGGCCACAGGATTGTGCAGTAGGTAACAAACGGCTGAATGAACGAGTGAACACCCCTTGGAGAACAGCAGAGCTACACTGTCCTTCCGGTTCTCTCCTCTGAGACCCTCCCCAACCCCACGTTTTACTGTATACCCTTTCATGGCAAGACAGACACACCCTTGGGTGTCATCCTGACACACACAGGGGGCTCTGGACCTGTGGATGTTGGAGTTTATGTTGCATGACTCAGCATGTCTGCTCTGAACTCTATGCCCCAGAGAAAGGTATGTCTGTGGAAAAACATACATGAATATTCATAGCTGCACTGTTCACAATTGCCCCAGAGTGGGAACAACCCATATATCTATCAATTGGTAAATGGATAAACAAAATATGATTTGCCTATGCATGTATTAGGCTGATAGCAAGAAAAGGCATGAAGTCCTCATACATGCTACAACATGGCTGGACCTTGGGAATATCATGCCAGAGGTAAGGAGCTCAACTTAAAAGACCCAAGCCTGTTCCATTTCATTTATAGGAATTGTCCAGAAAAAGCAAATTTATAGAGATAGAAAGTAGATTAGTGATTGCTCAGGGTTGGGGACAATGGAGGATTGGGGTGGGCTAGATGGCTGCTGAAGGGTATGGGCTTCTTTCCAAGGCGATGAAAATATTCTAAAATGTATTGATGTTGGCTGCACATCTCTGTGAATACACTCCAAGCCACTGGATTGTGCCTTTTAAAGGCGAATTGCACGCACCTGTAATCCCAGCATCTGGGAGGCTTTTGCAGGAGGATCACAAGTTCAAGCCCACACTGAGCAACTTAGTGACTTAACAAGACCTTGTGTCAATAAACAAACAAGCAAATAAATAATGAAATGAAAAGGGAGGGGAAGTAGCGCAGTGTGAGGCCCTGGGTTAAGTCCTCAGTACTGGAAAGAATGAATTACATTTAAGTGAATTAAGTCTCAATAAAACTGCTGTTAAAAATCTTGCCCTCTTTGCCACTCTCTGGCAATGCTCCAGCCTTCTACCCTATTTGGAAAATTTTCCTCCCTCTTTCACAGGCTCACACACACAGCCATTACCTTATTAAATTTTTTTCCTTTTATCTTTTCTTTCATTCATTCTTTTTTTTCTTCTTTGGTGGGATGGAACAGGACACACACTACCCCTAGGCATACAGAGTGCACACCTCCTGATCAGCACACATACCACACGCACATACACAGAGAAACCACACTTCAGAATACAGCATTTAAACCACTGCTCAGCACACTGAGCGTATACCATCCCTAGGAACACGAAGCGCATACCACGCCTCAGCACTAAGAGTGCTTACCACACTTCAACACACACACTGCCCCTAGGAACACAAATTGCATACCACCCCCTGGGACACAGAGTGCATACAATCCCTACTCACACAGAGTGCATGCAACCCCACAGCACATAGTGTGCATACCGCCACGCTGCACACAGGTTACATAGCACCCCTCAGGACACAGAGTGCATAGCATCCCTCAGCACAGAAACAAATCTTAGGTACACAGAGTGCATACTACCCGTAGGCACACAGAGTACATACCGTACCCAGCATAGATACCACCCACAGGCACACAGAGTACATACTACCTCGCACAACACCTAGACACATAAAGCACATACCACACCTCAGCGCACAGACTGCAAACTACCCCTAAACACACAGAGTGGATACCACTCCTCAGCATACTGAGGGTCCGCTACACCTTAGTGCACACGCCACCCCTAGGCACACAGGGTGCCTACCACCCCTCAGACATAGAATGCATAACACCCTTCAGTACACAGCATGCATACCACCTCACAGCACACACACCAACCCTGGGCACACAGCGCATACCACTCTCGGGCACTCAGAGCACATACCACCCCTCAGCATACACAGAGCCACTAGGAACACTGAGTCAATAAAACTGCTCAGCACACAGGTGCATAATACACCTCAGCACACAAAATGTGTAACATCTTTAGGCTCCCAGAATTCATACCACACCTCGACACACAAACCACTTCTCAGTACACACCCATGCATACTACCCCTCAGCACACAATCACTCACAGGCACACAGAGTACATACCGCACTGAAGAACATAGACTGTATACCACACTTAGGGACACAGAGTTCATACCACTGCTAACACACTTGATGCATACTACCTCTCAGCGCATACACCACTAGTCACACAGAGTTCATACCATGCTTCAGCACACACAACACTCCTAGACACAGAGTCATACCACCGCTCAGCACACTGAATGCATAACACCCCTCAGCACACACACCACCTGTGGTGGATTGACAACTGGTGGTCAACTCATAATACCAGCTGAGCTGAATCAGCCTGGTGCTGAGTGTGCAGGGTACACTCGAAGATTGTTGCAACATAAAAAGGAGAACTGGAGAGGAATAATGGTTCTCTATGGTGGTTTGTTCTGTTGCCATTGGCTCTCCTGGAAGAGCTTGTCAAGCTTTTTTCCTTGTGTGAGTTTAGCTGTTCTCATCATCAGATGAGTTAGGGACCTTGTCTCTGAGAATGGCTGTGGCTCACTTTGGGGGAGCTCTGGTCTTTACCACTACCTAGCTCCAGAGGGGAAGATGATGCGCTATTCAGTCCCCAGGAGAAGTTTGTCATGCTGGCTTCCTGATATGTACTCGGCTGTTCTCATCATCAGAAGAGCTTGGGACCTCATTGTCACTCAGGATGGCTGTGGTACTTTTGAGAGGAGCCCTGGTTCTTACTTTGAGCGTTGCTTTTCTGGCTCCAGTGCAAAACTCCCTATCTATTGGCTCAGATCCTTCAACACTGACACGAACTTTCTGGCTTCCCCTGTAGACCTTTGGACCTGCCCAGTGCAGATCTATGAGACATTGTCATGGCTCCAGGTCTTCAGCTGGACTCATGCAGGACATTGCTGTGGGATCTGGGCCCTCAGATGAATTTTTTGAGTCTTTATTGTGTGGACAGATTTCCCGCACTTTTTGTGTTTGACTCTTAGGATGATTATTATAAATAATTCTATATGTTATGTGTCCTGTATTAAATTGTTTTTCTTGCAAACCCTGACTACACCACCACCCCTAGGCACACAGAGTGTACACTACTCCTCAGCACAAACACCACCCCCAGACACACAGTGTGCATGCCAACCACAGCAGAAAGAGTGAAAACCATTCCTTGGCACAGACTCTCCACCTAGAGAGTATACCACCACTCAGAAAAACACTATTCCTAGGCACACAGAGTGCATCCCATATCTAGGCAAACAAAGTAAGTATAAATTCTCAGTGCAAACACCATTCCTAGTCACACAGATGGCATACAGAGTGCATGCAACCAATCAGCACACGCAGTGCATGGCACCCATCAGAATACACAGTTCAAACCACCAGCACACACACCACCCCTACACAAGGTCCATACAACCTCTCAGCACACAGAGTCCATACTACCCCTGCGTATACAGACTGCATACTGCCCCCCTCACCACAAATACCACACCTAGCCACAGAAACATACACCCCTTAGCTCACAGAATGCTTACCACACCTACATTCACAGAGTGAATAACACCTCTCAACACACATGGCCACCACCTCCCAGCACATATAGTGAACACCACCCCTCAGCACACACACCACACCTAGGCACAGAGAGTACATACTACCCCTCAGCACAGAGTGCTTCCATTCCTCAGAAAACAGTGTGCATATCACCCCTCAGCACACACACCAGCCCAAAGCACACAGAGTGCATACAACCCCTGAGCACACAAAGTGTACACTCACCCTGAATACACACACCACCCCAGCACACACACAGTGCATACCATTCCTCTGCACACAGAATGAAAACCACCCCTAGGCACACAGAGTGACTATTGTAGTCAGGGGTTAAAGGGAGAACAATTATATACAGGGCACATTATTTATTGTATTATTTATACTGGTCACCCAAGGAGTCAAATACAAGAAGTACAGGAAATCTGTATATGCACCAGAGACCTGGCCAATCTAGCGGATGCCCTGGATCCCATGGCACTATCCTGCATGAGTTCAGCTGAGAACCTAGAGCCCATGACAATGTTTCCCATGAGTCCAGCTGAAGGCCTAGAGCCCATGACAATGACTCATGCAAGTTTGTTTCACAGATCTGTGCTGAGAAGGCCCAAAGTTCAGTGGTGAAAGCTAGAAAGTTTATGCAGAAGGATGAAGGACCTCTGCCAGAGGTTGAGGGTTCTGCACTGGAGCCAAGAAGCAAATGCTAAAAATAAGGACCAGGGCTCCCCCCAAAAGTATCACAGCCATCCTCAATGACAACGAGGTCCCAAACTCTGATGATGACATGAACGGCCTAGTACATATCTGGAAGCCAGTGTGACAAGCTCCTCCTGGAGATTAAACAGCACACATTTTCCCCTCTGGAGCCAGGAAGTGGTGCTCCAAGTAAGGACCAAAGCTTTCCCAAAGTGAACTACATCCATTCTCAGTGACAAGGTCCTGAGCTCCTCTGATATAACAGCTGAGTTCATATAAAGGGAGCCAGCATGATAAGCTCCTCCAGGAGAACCAACAGCCCCATACAACAATTAGGAGAATCCGTAATGCTATTTTTCCTCTCCAGGTCTCCTTTTTATGATGGCAACAATCCTCAGATGGGCCATTCATGTTCAGCACCACGCGGATTCAGTTCAGCTGGTGTTTCAGTCACCACCAGTTACCAATCCACTACAGCGACAACCATCCCTTGCCACACAGACTGCATACCTCCCCTCCGCACATACATACCACCCTTTTTAGGCATATATTGTGCATACCATCACTAATCACATACACTACTGCTAGGCACTCAGAGTGCCTACCACCCTGCAGCGCAAAGAGTGCATACCACCCATCAGTACATAGATTGTTTGTGTGCTGATGGTGGTATGCACTCTGTATGTTGAGGGGTGATGCCTAGGGATGGTGTGTGTGCTGAGGGATGGTGTGTGTGCTGAGGGATGGTGTGTGTGCTGAGGAACAGTATGCGATCTGTGTGACAATGGGCGGTATTTACTCTGTGTGCCTGGTGGTGGTATGTGTTCTGAGGGATGGTACGCATTCTGCACTAAGAGGTAGTATACACTTTGTGTATCTAGGGGTGGTGTGAGCGCTGAGGGGAACTTCCACAGTGTGTGCTGATGGGTGGTAGGCACTCTGGGTGCTAAGGGTTGTTATGCACACTGTGCCTAAGTTTTGTATGAATTACGAGTGCTGAGGAGTGGTACAGACTCTGTTTGCCTTTGAGTAGTTTGCTGAGGGGTGTTATGCACTCTGTGTGCCTAGTGGTTGTGTGGGCAGACATGTCACAAGCACTCTGTGTGTGCAGAGTTGGTATGTGTACTTAGAGATGCTATGTACTCTATGTGCTGAGTGTAGGTTTACATTCTATGAACCCTGGGGTGGTAAGCACCGTGTACTGCGGCGTTATAAAGCAGTCTGTGTTTTAAGGGGAAGTACTTACTCTGTGTTGCTGTGGGTGGTATGCACTCTGTGCACTTTGTGTGCTGAGAGGTGATATGCACTTTGACTGCATATGTGTGAGTTGCACTCTGTGTCTAGGGGTGGATGGCATGCACGCTTTGTGTCTAGAGTTGGTGTGGGTTCTGAGGGTTGGTATGTGCTCTGTGTTCTGGGGGTTGGTATGCACTCTGTGTGCCTAGGGGTAGTGTGTGTCATGAGGGGTGGTATGCTCTGTGTGACTAAGGGTGATATGCATTCTGTGTGCCGAGGGGTGGTGTGTGTGCGGAGTGATGATAAGTACTCTGTGGTATGCACTCTGGGCCCCAAGGGTGGTGTGTTTGTTG